TATGCATCTCGTGGCGTATATTCCAAGCATTCTGAAGGTATACTGAGGGTTTGGTGAGAAACAAACCGAAATGGCAAGTTATTATATTTTATGAAAATCTTGCGTTGCGGTGCGAGTGCGCAGTAGCTCACGCCGTGCACAAGTGCATATCCTTTTGAGATATCATATCAATTATAATCAATTTTAATAAAACACAAGACTACATTGTATAACTCTAACAGTAGGCTATATTTAATATCTGCTGTTCTCCGGTTGTCAGTCAGAATGACAGTTCTTTCGTGAACATATATACCCAAGCCAATTTATTATTCCTTCCTTTTTGTCTTAGTGTTTAAAATATTTATTTTGAAACGAATTAATTAATTACTTAAACAGACTTACTGGGTGAGCAGGGTAGGCTAAGACAGCTGTTAAATCATACCCTGCCATCCCCAGCTGATGCAAAGAATAGAATTTATATCTACACAGAAGAAAGCCCTGTCTAGACTCTGCCCCGGTATGAGTTGTGTTGAGCTATTCATTAGCCTGTTTGTTTGATGAAAAAAGACTAAATGTAGTTGCAATAAATGCATTAAGAATCCATACAACTTCAGCAGCGGAGGACTATTATTCTGCTGCATGGTACTGCAGAAGAACTGATGATGGCACGGGTTGATCTTCGGCTGACCAATCAGCAGAAAGGGGCGTTTAATTCCCGCCCACGTGTAGAAATCGAATATTCAAGCTGTTTATTCATTTTTCCACCCATGAACGAAAAACGAAAATTTAAGCTGAATTCTTGTTTTTCGTGTTTTGGAAAAAAACGAAAATACGAAAAACGAGCCGTTTTCTCATTTTTCTACTTTCAATATTAAATCAAAAAACGGATGATCGAATGATACACGGATTCAGTCATATTTTATTTTTATTTATTCAAAATATATTTTATTTTATTTAAAATATTTTATTTTCTAGTCTATAGTCTTATCCAATCCTGTTTTGTTCTATTTTTAGAATTATTTTACTTTTTTATTTTATTTGATCATCTTACCTTATCTTACTTTACTTTACTTTACTTTACTTTACTTTACTTTACTTTACTTTACTTTATTTTATTTCATTTTATTTTCATTTTAATATTATCCAATCCTGTTTTGTTCTATTTTTAGAATTATTTTACTTTTTTTGTTTTATTTAATTTTATCATCTTATCTTGTTTTATTTTATTTTATTTTATCTTGTTTTATTTTATTTAAAATTTTATTTTATTTTAATATTATCCAATCCTGTTTTGTTCAAATTTTTTTAATGAATTGTTTTATTTTATTTTATTATAACGCCCAGCATATTGTCTTATCCAATCCTTTTTTGTTCTATTTTTAGTATTATTTCCTTTTTTATTTAATTTTATTTTATCATCTTATCTTATATTATCTTACTTTATTTTACTTTATTTTATTTTCATTTTAATATTATTCAATCCTGTTTTGTTCTATTTTTTTATGAATTGTTTTATTTTATTATAACACCCAGTATATTGTCTTATCCAATCTTGTTTTGTTCTGTTTTTAAAATTATTTTACTTAATTTATTTTTTACTTTACTTTACTTTACATCTTCCATCTTCTGAACTGCTTGTCCTATGTAGAGTCGTAGCTATAGTCTTTTCTGTTGTATTCTGTTCTTTTCTTATATCCGTGTCCTGATTGGTTTATAATCCGGCCTGTCTCAGATTGTGGGCCTGACCGCGTCGGTCGGCATCGGTTCATTCAAGAACGAACTGGAGGCGGAGAACAACATCTTACAGCTCTGTGCCAACCTGGACACCAGGGTCATCACCACGGTTACCGAACACAAGGATGAGCTCAAGTCATACGTGCACACGCCTGCGAAAGGTCAGCGCATACAATATACAATATACACACATACGACATTACCTATGACACATGATTATTAATGCCGTGTATGTGCGTGTGTCAGCTTTTTTTGAGGTTAAACAGTGCACGAGTCACCCCTTCATCAGAATAATCAAAAACATCATGAGTAACATCGAGCAGCTGGCGCAGAAGACCTACAACATCGGTACGCAGTCCACACCTGCACACGCATGCTGTACAAACACCGACACACACACTAACACACATGTACGTGTGTCTCTCAGAGAGCCTGTCGAACATCCAGAACTGCGAGCACGGCTCACAGAAATATGAGCAGTGGATCGTCTCCGTTCAGAAGAGCTGCAAAGTCTTACAGATGAAGAACGCAGACGAGGAGAGACGCATCTGCAGAGAACTCTACAACTACACCGAACACCTGCGGGTCAGACAGACGGATAGATAGATCATCCAACATTACAGTATAATTGAGAGCTATCAATTTTAACATTTATTAGACTTTTAAAAAAATAACAACTTATAATTTAAGCGAACTTGAAACAACCTTCATATAAACCCATTATAATAAATGTCACATTTAGCTACCTGTGCACTTCAGCAAGTAGGAAATTGAGTTAATTAAAGTTCAAACACTAAATTCTCAATTAACAGACATCACAGCAGCTGGTGATCAGGTTATTTTGACTGCTTTGAGAGCTGAACATGACGCGGATCTGACACGCATCGTAGTTTCTCATAACTCTTTACCTTTACTGACTCATTTTATTTAATTTTATTTTATCATCTTATCTTATATTATCTTACTTTATTTTACTTTATTTTATTTTCATTTTAATATTATTCAATCCTGTTTTGTTCTATTTTTTTATGAATTGTTTTATTTTATTATAACACCCAGTATATTGTCTTATCCAATCTTGTTTTGTTCTGTTTTTAAAATTATTTTACTTAATTTATTTTTTACTTTACTTTACTTTACATCTTCCATCTTCTGAACTGCTTGTCCTATGTAGAGTCGTAGCTATAGTCTTTTCTGTTGTATTCTGTTCTTTTCTTATATCCGTGTCCTGATTGGTTTATAATCCGGCCTGTCTCAGATTGTGGGCCTGACCGCGTCGGTCGGCATCGGTTCATTCAAGAACGAACTGGAGGCGGAGAACAACATCTTACAGCTCTGTGCCAACCTGGACACCAGGGTCATCACCACGGTTACCGAACACAAGGATGAGCTCAAGTCATACGTGCACACGCCTGCGAAAGGTCAGCGCATACAATATACAATATACACACATACGACATTACCTATGACACATGATTATTAATGCCGTGTATGTGCGTGTGTCAGCTTTTTTTGAGGTTAAACAGTGCACGAGTCACCCCTTCATCAGAATAATCAAAAACATCATGAGTAACATCGAGCAGCTGGCGCAGAAGACCTACAACATCGGTACGCAGTCCACACCTGCACACGCATGCTGTACAAACACCGACACACACACTAACACACATGTACGTGTGTCTCTCAGAGAGCCTGTCGAACATCCAGAACTGCGAGCACGGCTCACAGAAATATGAGCAGTGGATCGTCTCCGTTCAGAAGAGCTGCAAAGTCTTACAGATGAAGAACGCAGACGAGGAGAGACGCATCTGCAGAGAACTCTACAACTACACCGAACACCTGCGGGTCAGACAGACGGATAGATAGATCATCCAACATTACAGTATAATTGAGAGCTATCAATTTTAACATTTATTAGACTTTTAAAAAAATAACAACTTATAATTTAAGCGAACTTGAAACAACCTTCATATAAACCCATTATAATAAATGTCACATTTAGCTACCTGTTCACTTCAACAAGTAGGAAATTAAGTTAATTAAAGTTCAAACACTACATTCTCAATTAACAGACATCACAGCAGCCGGTGATCAGGTTATTTTGACTGCTTTGAGAGCTGAACATGACGCGGATCTGACACGCATCGTAGTTTCTCATAACTCTTTACCTTTTCTGACTCCCTTCAGCTCTTAAAGGGTTAGTGAAAATTCGATCATTATTTATTCACCCTCATGTCGTTCCAAACCCGTAAGACCTTCGTTCATCTTCGGAACACAAATTAAGATATTTTTGATGAATTCTGAGAGCTCTCTGATCCTCCCATAGACAGCAAGGTAACTACCACAATCAACGTCCAGAAACGTAGCAAGGCGATCTGTAAAATAATCCATGTGACATCAGGGGTTCAGCCGTAATTTTACGAAGAGACGAGAATACTTTTTGTAAGCATATAAAACAAAAATAACGACTTTATTCAACAATTCGTCTCCTCCTCGTCACCCTGGTGCCATTTTGGAGAATATCCACTGAACGTAAACGTATGCTATTCTGTGTCAGCTGCGTCACGCGAATACGTTTTCTACGTTGTTTATGCTTTGATTTGAACGAAAACAACGTGACGCAGCTGACATAGAATAGCATATGCTGTTTATGTTCAGTGGTAGTTACCTTGCTGTCTATGGGAGGCTCAGAGAGCTCTTAGAATTCATCAGAAATATCGTAATTTGTGTTCCGAAGATGAACAGAGGTCTTACGGGTTTGGAACGACATGAGGGTGAATAATTAATGACATAATTTAAATTTTTGATAATGAGCTGAGGAGTTGAATCGGGTGTGTTAGATGAGGGAGACAGTGCTGCTGCTCCAGGACAGTTTAGAAAAATGTGACTTAAATAACAAATGCTTGCACGCACAGTTTTAGTGCAGCTTTAATCGCCTTTTTGGTAACTTCATGACTTAACTAAGACACTGCATGCTCGTAGTTTCTTATGAAATTATATATAGCACGCGCCGCCACAGACATATAGATAGACAGACAGACAGACAGACATATAGATAGACAGACAGACAGACATATAGATAGATAGATAGACAGACAGACAGACATATAGATAGATAGATAGACAGACAGACAGACATATAGATAGATAGATAGACAGACAGACAGACATATAGATAGATAGATAGACAGACAGACAGACATATAGATAGATAGATAGACAGACAGACAGACATATAGATAGATAGATAGACAGACAGACAGACATATAGATAGATAGATAGACAGACAGACAGACATATAGATAGACAGACAGACATATAGACATATAGATAGACAGACATATAGACAGACAGACAGACATATAGATAGACAGACAGACAGACAGACATATAGATAGACAGACATATAGACAGACAGACAGACATATAGATAGATAGATAGACAGACAGACAGACAGACAGACATATAGATAGACAGACATATAGACAGACATATATAGATAGACAGACAGACAGACAGACAGACATATAGAAAAAAAAAGCAGCTCCTGCAAAATAAAAGCTCAAGGGTTTAATGTTGGAAAATGGCAAAATTGTATTGTAACTTTACAGTTGTGCTATAATATAATAATTAATAATTAGTATTGTTGTTGTTTTTATTATTTTTATTTACAATATAATATTTTAAGTAAGTTATTATTATTATTATGCATTATTTTTTTATATTTATTATTTTGTTTAATATTTTTTGTTTAATTCTTTAATTTTACAGTACTGTTATTACTATTATTTTATTTTCATATTGATATATAATCACAAATTGTTTTTCTGGCCAAACAAACAGGCACAGCAAACCTTAAGCTTTAAATAAATAAGGAAATCACAATTTTGTCAGAATAATTGCAATTAGATTTTTTTCTAAAAATCATATAGTCCTATGAAATAGTTTTAAGTTTAATGTTTATAGTTGTTGTTAATATTCTATTTTTATATGTTCTGTTTATATGTTTTCATTTAAGTTTAAAGTTTTAGTAATCTTGTTGTGTGTTTTAGTTTATGTAGTTATTATTTTTATTTCGGTTTTTGTTGTTTTAGGACAAATTTAGGAAATTTTAGGAAATTTTATTTCAAATAAATTTTTATTTATTTATTTTTTTTCAAATAATGCATTTTTTATAGTTTTCAGACGTGATGTGCGTTTGTGTTGTTGTGCTGCAGGAATGACTCCGAACAATCAGAAGGGGATTCTGGACTCTTTTAAGAGCTCCGATCAGAGCAAGATGCTCATCGCCACATCGGTCGCTGATGAAGGCATCGATATCCCACAGTGCAACTTGGTTCTGATGTATGAATATGTGGGAAACGTGGTAAAGATGGTGCAAGTTCGAGGTAACAAACATATGCACATGCTCTCTCACACACACACACACACACACACACACACACTCTCACTCTGATGCATAAGTGTTGTGTGTGTGTGTGTGCATGCAGGTCGTGGTCGGATGGAGGGCAGCCGGTGTTTCCTGATCTCCAGTAATAAGGATCGCATTGCGAAGGAGAAAATAAACATGTTTAAGGAGAAGATGGTGGAGGAGGCCATCGAGCAGCTGCAGAGTCGGCCCGCCGACCTCAGCAACAAGGTTCTGCACTTCCACCGCATGTTTTATACATTAGTGCATCTCTGCTGCGTGACATCGCTAGACAGTACGAACGTGTGTGTGCTCAGGTGGACATGTTGCAGAGGGAAGATAAAGCCCGGAGGGATCACATCAGCGCCAGTCCCGAAAAACCCAAAACCCAGGGCAGTTACGAGCTCCTCTGCAGCAAGTGCAAGAGGTTTGCATGCATGAGCGACGACATCAGAGTCGTGCTGGTATGACCTTAATAATTAAATACTTACAGTAAACCCTTAAAAACCTCAAGCTTTTAAACTACTTCAAATTTAAAAATAACTAAAACAATCAGACTTCAAGCTCTTCAAACTACTTCAAACTTAAAAATACTTAACCTTCAAACTTGAAGCTTTGCAAATGACTTTAAACTTAAAATACTTAAAACATTCAAACTTTAAGCGTTGCAATCTAATTCAAACTTGAAAATACTTAAATTCTTCCAGCTTTAAACTTTTCAAACTACTTCAAACTTAATAAATACATAAAACCATCAAATGTCAAGCTTTTTAAACGACTTCAAACTTAATAAATACTTAAAACTTTCAAGCTTTTCAAACTACTTCAAACTTTAAAATATTAAAACTTACGAACTTCAAGCTTTTTAAACTACTTCAAACTTAAAAGTACTGAAATCCTTCATGCTTTTAAACTACTTCAAACTTAAAAATACTTAACTGTCAAACTTCTAGCTTTTCCCACTATTCCAAATTTAAAAATACTTAACTGTCAAGC